ATCGGAATTCTTGGCGCTGGCATGTGTCCGCGCCCTCGAAACGCTTACACGGGATTCGTGGTTTTTGTATACGAGTCCGTCGTATACGTGGGCGTCTGTAGCGTAGACATCCCACTAGCCCCGTGTTCCTCGTCTCCATATTCCTCCGATGGGTCATAAAAATCGCCCTCGGCGACCAATGCTCCTGCGTATCTATTTTTTTCCTGATCAACAGTACTAGGTCCTCTGGACGCAGACAGTGAGTCGGCCAAGTGGACAGCGCCGCGGGTTTTTCGCGTGGGGTGCGAAGTCTTCTGCTTCCCCCCCATCCTTAGCGTCGCTGGCGCTTGGATGGTGACTCTCCTAGTCTTTCTCTCCTTGGCGCGGCTCGCCGATCCATGCGCCTTCGCATAATTAACTAGTCTCAAAGACGAAACGTTCCGGTTGTCTTGTCGGTATTGAGATACAATCGGCTTGATACTCGAATCGAGTCCTTCAATAAACATCGTCATTTGTTCTTCCATCGAATATACGTTTCCACATCGATTGCTCGCGTCCGTCAGACGGATATAAAATTCCATCTCGTCTTCAGACGGTAGCTGCTGTACTTCCCGAAATGCGAGTACGGCTTGGCGGATCGCCTCATCGGTGGCGAAGCTTCGCAATAGCCACTGTACGGCCTCCGGCCAGACGAATATTTTCCCATGGTGGGACCCAGCCGTTTGTGACACCGAGGTGTACTGTCTCAGGGCGATTCCGCTGAGAAACTCCGGTAGCAAGCGGATCGCTTGGCCTTCGTTCATCTCCTGGGTGTGGAATTCTTGGACTATCTTAGCTAAAAAGTCTAGAACTAATACGCCATCTTCTCCTGTGAATGTATTGTCTCTCTTCCTCCTTGGTAGTGTGTCTCTTCTGATCTTTCGCACGGCGGTCCGCCGCTTGCTCGACAAATGTGTCTGCGGGGTCCGCAGGCGGTACGTCCTGTACGAAAGCAACTTCTTGAAGAGGTGGTTGGTCGGATTTAATTACTCCAACTCCTCCCATCGCGGTCCGCGCCGCGTCTCGATGTCTTCTGGCTCCGCTTCGTTGTCTCTCCGCGAGGCGGACGAAGTGACTCCGCCTCTTTTAGAGCTCTTCTTACTTGACGAAATTCCATTTCCTTCGGTCGATCTTCGGTCAGTATTTCTTGAATGGTTCGACGAGCCGTCGCCACCATTTTCTTCTGAAACATTCGGCTCCGAATTTGAGTCGCAATTTTCGCGGTCGTCACTACAGTGACTTTTCTTCTTCTTTCGACCTTTGGCCGACCTGGGGCTCTTCCACTTGGAGTCCCGGATCCGGGCTGACTTGTCCTTCTTCGTTGGACTGTCGAGTTCTTCTCCGTCCGAGAGCAGTCCCGCGTCTAATCTTTGTTCGGCCCGGCCCGTGTCCAATCTTGGTTCTGCCCGGCCCGCGTCTTGCGCAAGGTCCTTGAGTCGTCGCAAAGGGCGGTAGAACCGGTCGTCGATGCTGTCCCTTGTCTTGGCCAGCGTTTCCAGGGCCTGATTCGCGTCTCGCCGCGCTTCTTTCGCGGCGAGCTCTAGCGAATCCAGCACTTCCGGATCTCGGCCCGGGGACGCATCGGTACTTGACTTCTCAAAGAGAACCACACGAGCTGTCAGCTCTTCAAGCGCAGCGTGGAACTCGGATTTTAGCAACTCCTGTTGCTTCTGAAAAATGCCCAGATGTTCGTTGAACTTGCTCTTCGTCTCCTGACGAATTTCCTCGCTCAACTTCTCGAACTTCTCTTCCAGGCCTTTTTTCTCAACGGCTGTCCCCAAAGAGGACGCTTCTGCAACTGGATCAGTAGCAGAATTTCCTTGGCTTCGTGTACAAGGTCCGCGCGGAATTCTCGACTCTTGAGCTGATCCAGGTCTTCTGACCCCAGGACCGACGTCCTTGGGTTGGCTTGATGCCATGGTCCGCTCTTAATAAACGAGACCTATCGAACTAATTTACCTATTTCCGACTTCTGATTTCAGTTCCAGATTCTAGGTCGGGCTTCGTAGTTTCCAGATTCTAGGTCGGGAGACCACTTATGTAGTGCAATGTGCCTGTCAGGCCGGAACGAGGGTCCAACGGTCCAGCAACAACACAACCAACAAACAACAACCAACAAGAGTTGTCGACGGCACAGCCTTACGGCGTGTCCGATTCTCCGTTTCCCTTTAAGTGGGTTTGTGGCCCACAGTAGCTCAAATCCCTGACAGGGGGGGCAAAAGGAAGATGCCCAGCCCAGGACGAATGGTGGCAGAGTCTTGCACAGGCAGTTGCTCGGCGAGTTCGGGGCGGTAATTAAGAAGCCGGGCCCGATGGGTCGTTAAGCCAATGCTCGCTGAGCGCCTGGTACACCTTATACCCTTGATAAGGTCTTCGACGGGGGCGTCGCAATGCAGCCCGACGGGAATTAGCAAACAAGTAGCAGCGCTACACCTCCGTACTGCCCGATGGCAAAGTACCGACACCGGAACGGTCGTAACCTGTATCCGATGGAACCAACACTGTCCTGTATACACAACAGGACCTTCGAGGGAGACGTCGTCGCAACAGCCTCCGTCGGGGGACGTAAACAAGTAGCAGCGCTACACCCACGTGTCGCCCGATGGCTAAGACACCTACACCGGTCCAGTCGCAACCAAAACCGATGGCACCAACAACAAACAAAAGAATCAACACAAAAGCCCGATGACTCCAGTCGTCACAATGCGGATCGCAATCAGGCACTGTGGAACCAACACAAGGTAAGGGAATAGAAATAGGGATAGAAATAGAAATAGAAATAGATAGGTGAAATAAAGGAAAAGGAAAGGGAACCCCCGAGCGCAAAGGAAAACGTAATCTGTGGTAGAAGGGAGCGTCTTGGGAAAGACGGACTTCGACCAAGGCGATATTCAACTCTGGCAACTCGGGTTACCTTTACTGACTTGGTGGTCAGTGGGCTAAGGTATATATCGCCCCGCCAGAGCCACTACAGTAGCTCTCGGCGCTAGATCCTAGATCTAATCTAATGTCAGCAAAATTAATGCCAACTAATTAACTAAATAAAATAAAATAATTAAAAATTAAAACTGCCCAATTACTCACACGTGTGTCCCCCAACCCGGACTACTTTGTCATACCTTATTGATTTCCTTTCGTTCCACCGCCATGTAGAGCCCATTATTGCACTACAGGACACGAGGACTACGGGGCAAGCGGGTCGTCAGCTTTACCGACGCCCCCATACACGACGGAGTCGTTTTCAGAGCCCACGGATCCCGTGATGATGTTCCGGGGGCGCGGCCTTACGCCGGCGCCGCGCATTCCGATGGAAGACAAGGGTACAACGTTTCGAGAGCCAGGCTGGATGGGAAGGCCGCAACATCAAGTAAGGCCGCCGGCCCGTGGAGGACCTAGGCCGCAATATCCCGTCAAGAAACACGGAATGGTGTGCTATCACTGTTACGAGAAGGGGCACGCGGCGCCAACGTGCATTCTTTCCCTCCGGGAAATGCACCAAGCTTTGGGAAATTATGAGGCGTTGTCTCCGATGGAGGGATTGGGGATACCATCGACGAGGTATGTAAGGGTCAAGAATTGGTTCGATTTGCAGACGGCAAGCACGCCGAGTGCTTCAACGCCGAGGTCGAACCAACCAACCAACAACCAACGTAGCCGTTCACATCCGAAGGCGGTCAGTCGAGCTATGCTCCGGAGATGAAGTACCCATTCAAAGGAGACCTGCGATGACCTCCATCAGCCATCCGACAGGGGAATGCCCCGAAGTGAGTACCAAACGAGACAGAGACCTATTTCTTAGAGTTACCAAGGCCGTCGAAATTCCGGCAGGCACGGAAATGATGGTTCATGTCAGCTGCCCAGCCTCTGGCACTGTAGTTCTAGAGACAAGACCCGAAGTGTATCTATGAAAGCAAGTCAGCCTGTCCAATGGGGTCGCTGACATACGTCCTCATGTCCCATTCTTAGTCCGCGTTGCGAACTTCTCACGGTCAGCGACCAAACTTCAAAAACGAGAGCGGATTGGAATTGCTGTGACAGCACCTAATCAAGTTCTGTCTGTCGACTTTGGTCTGCCAACCAGAGAAATATCACGAGATGAAGAGGGGTCAGGGCCTGGCCTCCTGTCGCTTGTACCGCCGGAAAAATCTATACATGGAGACAAGAAGTCGAAGTCGACATATATTGATGACTTAGAACTCGATCATCTGTCGGACGACAATCGACGCAAGGTGCGAAAGCTCCTCCGTCCATTCGCCAAAATGTGGCAAGGTCAACTGGGCTCCGTGGAAATAACAGAACACAGAATACCGTTAGTCCTGGGAGCCAAACCGGTTTTCTCCCAACCATATCGAGCAGGGCCTGGGGCCAGGAAAGTCTTGAAAGAATCCGTACAGGAGATTCTGGACAAGTATGTCATCGAGCACGCTTAAAGTGAGTGGGCTAGCCCGGTGGTGCTTGTGCCCAAGGCAGATGGATCTCTTAGGTTCTGCGTTGACTACTGAAGGCTAAATGCTATCACTGTGAAGGATGCATATCCATTGCCAAGGATGGAAGACTGCATGGACTCGCTGGGGGACGCTAAATGCTTCACAACCCTCGATTGCAACAGTGGTTATTGGCAGATCCCCGTGGCGGAAGCCGATAGAGAGAAGACGACGTTTACATGTCATGAAGGTTGTTACCAGTTCCAGAGAATGCCCTTTGGCTTGTGTAATGCTCCAGCCACCTTCCAGAGAACACTAGATATATTACTATCATGATATAGGTGGAAGAGTTGCCTCGTGTACCTTGATGACATCACCATTTTCTCGAATTACATTGAAGAGCACTCAACTCACGTTCAACAGGTTTTAAAAGTCCTCCAGGACGCAGGGCTTTCTCTGAAGCTTGAAAAGTGTAATTTCTTTGCTGAGCCGGTCGACTATCTTGGGCATGTCATCCGCCCTGGACTTTTGACCGTTGCCGAGAAGAACACCGATGCCATGAAGAAGGCACAAGAGCCGACGACGCAAACTGAGCTTCGCTCTTTCCTCGGCATGTGCAATGTTTACCGAAGGTTCGTGGCGAACTTCGAAAGAACTGCGGCACCCCTGAATGCACTGTTAGCAAAGGGGAAGCCTTTCCAATTAGAGGAGTTTTCGGTTGAACAGTCTAAGGCTTTTAGTTTACTGAAGACCGCGCTTATAAGTCCTCCCATTCTCAAGCTACCGCGCTCAAACCTTCCAGTCTCGGTCGACACGGATGTTTGCAAGCGACAAGTGGGCTGCGATCTATTTCAGACATATCTAGACCGAACGCGCCATCCGGTGGGATTTTGGAGTCGCTCCCTGAACCCAGCGGAAAAGAATTACAGCGTCGGCGAAAAGGAATGCCTCGCCATAATTTGGGCATTACAGATTTTGAGACCATATCTCGAGCGGAAGCACTTCGAGCTCTACACAGACCATCAATCCTTAAAGTGGATGATGAGTCTAACAGACGCCAGTGGCAGGCTTGCTCGATGGCGTCTCCGCCTACTGGAGTTCGATTTCACAATCAAGTACCGCAAAGGGGCTGTGAATTGCATTGCAGACGCTGTGTCAAGGCTGCCGACATTTGGCGAGTGTGCTGTCGAATCTGACTCAGACATTCCTTGTTCCTGGGTTCAAGAGAACAGCGCTTGGATGGATGAAGATCAAGATGACGAAGATGTCGAGATCGAGCTCAGGCGCGATGCAATCACGTCAGATTTCAATGACGAGGGGATCTGCGTCATGAACGGTGAGAACACAGATCTATCTCCGGTCCGAATCGAAGAGCTGGTGATCTCTCAAGCTAACGACTGATACTGTCAAATGTTGAAAGAGAAAGTCGACAATGAAGAGACAAGTCGCTTCTACGTCGACGACCGCGGTCTCCTGGTCCGCATTGCCACTCTCGACAAATGCAGACAAATTGTCGTACCGACCATGTTAAGGCAAAAGATTTTTTACCTATGCCACTATACAAGAACATAAGGTTATCGTGGGGGTACAAAGATGTTCTATACAATGCGACGCACGTTCTACTGGCCTTCCATGGCATTGGAATGCCACGCTTGTGTGAGACAATGTGACTCATGCGCCTGCGAAAGAGTACAATTGCGCAAGCACTCTATATTTTTGAAACTCTTCCCCGCGAGAAGACCGCTAGAGTTCGTCCCCATCGCCATTTTGGGACCTCTACCCCGATCGAAAAAAGGGAACCAATACCTTTTGGTCATATCCGATCGGTTTTCGAAGATGACAAGAGCGATACCGCTGAAAAGCATCACATCAATGACAGTGGCAAGAGCCTTCGTCGAGAATTTGATTTATCCGTATAGACCACCTGCTTATCTTCTATCCGATAACGGTGGTCAATTTGCGTCGAAGTTCTTCCAAAAGATTTGTCAAATCATGGGGATTGGCAATCTCTTTACCGCTGCGTATCACCCTCAGACCAATGGTCCAGTGGAACGGTTCAACCAAACCATATTATCAGGCATACGCCACTACGTCATGGAACATCAAAAGAAATACGATGAATACTGTGGTCCTCTGACGTACGCGTATAACACGCAAGTACATCGCAGCACGGGATGTATACCATTCGAACTTGTGTTGTCACGACCTCCAGGGCCCGTGGCCTTGGTGTAGTGCAATGTGCTTGGCAGGCCGCGAACGCAGTCCGACGGTCAAACAAAAAGAAGAAAAACAACAACAGCAACAACCACTGCCGATGGCACGCGCTACGGAGCGTTCGAGACACCCTTTCCCCTTGTGTGGGCTTGCAGCCCACGGTAGCTCAACTCCGACGGGGGGTTAAGGAAAGATGCCCGGCCCGGGAGGATAATGGTGGTAGAGGCTTGTGAAGACTTGAGCGCTCGACGAGTGCGGGTTGGGCTTGTCTACGAGGATGTAACCGCGGTTCGCTGGTTTGTAAGGCCAATGCTCGATGAGCGTCTTCAGCACCTTGTGTGTAATTCAAGGTCTTCGACGGGGGCTTCTTCAGCACTACCCGACGGGATCGTAACCGTGTAGCAGCGCTACCACCGACGTGTTGCCCGATGGCTAAAAGCACTCTCACCAGCGCGATCGCAATCGCAGTAGGTGGTACCAACTCTGTCTTGTACAGTAAGACCTTCGACGGAGGCGTCGTTGCAACAGCCTTCCGACGGAACTTGAAACAGAAGCAGCGCTACACAACGTGTTGCCCGATGGCTAAAACACCTACACCGGATCGGTCGCAACCAACTCCAGTGGAACCAACGCAATTAAGGGAAAAATAGAGATAGAGATAGAAAAGAATAGGGAAATAAAGGAAAAAGAAAAGGGGAACCCCCGAGCGCAAAGGATAACGTAATCTCTGGTAAAAGGGAGCGTCTTGGGTAAGACGGACTTCGACCAAGGCGATATTCAACTCTGGCAACTCGGGTTACCTCTACTGACTTGGTGGCCAGTGGGCTTAGCTATATATCGCCCGGCCGGAACCACTACAGTAGCTCTCGGCGCTAGATCCTAGATCTTATCTAGTGTCAGCAAAATTAATGCCAACTAATTAACTAAATAAAATAAAATAATTAAAAATTAAAACTGTGCAATTATTCACACGTGTGTCCCCCAACCCGGACTACTTTTCATATCCAAATATTTTCCTTTCTTTTCACCACCCTGTAGAGCCCATTATTGCACTACATTTGGAAACATTCCCGAGAATGGTACGATGCCAGAAACTCGAGGCGAACGTATAGGGCCGATGGATCATCTTAAAAGTCTCATGGACGGAGCCACCGACACGCTAAGAGCAGCTCAGACACGATACAAGGAAAATTGCGACAAGCATGTCGGAAAAATAGCATCCCAGCGGCTATTGGGGACAAAGTGTTCGTGAAGAGACAAGTACCGCTACGTACGGAAAGTGGAGGGGTTTCCGAGAACAAGCTGCAGCCAAAAGCAGATGGACCATTTGAGGTCATTGGCGCGACATCACACACAGTCACTATTATTCGTGATGGCCTCACCGAGACGGTAACCCGGGATCGTGTTTCAAAGAAGACCTTCCAAGCAAGAATTACAAGAGAAGTCGAAAACGACAATGAGTCTGAAGACGGAACCCCCAACCTGCCCGCTGCCAGCGGCAGTCAATAATCCCATCATGAGACCAGGAAAAATTCCTATGAGGAGCAGGGGGGTAGAACGCCGTCGGAAGAAATTTCTGAAGAACATCGGAGACCCTTCTCTCGCCTCCGAAGATCAGAAATCTCTGAGGCGGAATGTGCCATAGACGGGAGAAGAAACGAGCACTCATTTGACGCAATTCTCGCGTATAATGACCGAAACGATCGATTCAGAGTCCGATGAACCGGTTATGATGAGTCGGGTGACACTTGGGAACCAGGGCGAAATTTGCCTTTCAACTCCGTTGTCCGCTATTTCCGCCGGCGTTCGCCGGTTCAACAGAGACGTACGTCGTGCGGGGAATCTGGAGAGGAGAAATGCCTTGCGAAATATCAATCTCGATATCCGCAGTCGCATCCAGATCTTTGATCTCCTCCCTGCTCGCGGAGTATGAGGGACAGGCTGTCACAAGGCTGTGCAAAGGGCTACTGCGCAATAGGGTTTCAATTACGTCGACTACACCACTGGCAGATGATGGCGGTGCGATACCGACAGATGCCGTCCTCGGCTGCAAGCCTCGCTCGACGAGCAGTGATCTAATCTGTGAAATGCCACCCTCTACAGTGCCAGTATGGCCATCCAGAGGAGTCGATGAGGACGGATCACGTGCTTCTACCGACGCTAGTGTTGTCCTGTTGTGATGTCCCACACCCCGGCGATTCTTTCTCTCTCGTCTGCTGTTACTGCCCGCATCCTCACGAACGCACTCCCATGGTGCTAGGACGGGATTTGGCACGTAGTGGTTAAGAAACCCCGTATGGAACACGCCTGTAGATGGCATTGGTTCGCATGGACGTCCGTCATAATCTTCTTGGATGTACATCGCATCCGGCATTTGTGTTGCCCATCGTTGCGCGTCGAACTCGACATAATCACCCGAGTCATACACCGGGGTACCGTAATGGTTATACTTCGGAACCTTTCCGTTACACTGCCACAAGCGGTCCCATCGGATGACTTCCATTTCGTGAAGGAGTGCTTCTAACTCGACCATGTGGTCATCGTGACCAAAACAAATGGCACCAACGCCAACTCTGCGAATTGCCGCAATTAAGGAAGGGGAAAACCGTTGCAAACGGCCTTGTCGGGCTACATGGATGGCCTCCGTTGCCGCGAGCCAAGCAAACTCTGCGTAGAAAATTTTCCCGAGGCAATCGTCAAGGCTTGCAACTGCCAAGTCGATTCCCAAATTCGTCACGACAGGTGGCGTGCCGACCGGCACCCATAGAGGAACCTCCAACGTCTCCCAACCTCTCGGGATCCGCGGCCATCGTTGCCTCACAACCTCCGGTCGCAGACCAAAAATTTCGCGATGCTGCAGAGCGGCGAACACGCCAAACCTGTGTCGTGATGAACGTTCCCACCGACGCCATGATTCAGGCATATATTTGTGACGACCGTCGACATGATCACCCTGGGGGTTGTCATAGAAGGACCAATGCGTTGGATGAATCAGCGATGCCTTCGCGACCAAACAGCGACGATCGAACTGCTCCGCATCGTCGAAGAAACCGATCGTCGCTCGAGCAGCTGCCAACGCACGGCAATATGCCAGTTTACGTCCGTATCGAGCGAACGCCACATCAAGCTGCCAGTCGGGCGGCAGGGCGTCGTCGTAGAAGCTGTAGTCCAAGCGCTGATTGACCATGGCCTGCGGTGTCCAATTTCTTGGCAGGCGGTTCGCCGATCTCCAGTTCTCGGGTGCGCTGTCACACCGCCAACGGAAGTCCCGCTGCTCGAAGACTTCGCGCGGTACCGCGTGGCCCCGGAGCCACACGAAATTGCCCACCTCGGCGGCAGAGCCCTTGTGCATGAAATCGGCCATCCGGCTTGGGCGCAAGCGCACCCAACGTCATGCAGACAGAAAAAAAGAGGAAAGAGATCGATGTCAGAATCAAGGGCAGCCCCGGGACGGCTTCGGTTTGGGCGGGGGGCCGTGTGGTATCACAGCCCAGATTTGTAATTTGTACAGCACCCGCCGCCGCGGGTGTCTTACAGGCGCGCGACTACACGTGTGCCTTACAGGCGAATGGACTACGCGGGTGCCTTACAGGCGCGCGACTACACATGTGCCTCACAGGCGGACGAACTACACGTTGGCATTACAGGCCGATGACGTACTGTATACATTACAGCCCGGAGGTTGTATATGACAAGGTACATTAGTAATGGCATAGTACAGTGCATTGCACAATAGAGTACGGTAGTACAGTAGGATGGAGAATGTCCAAGACCCCGCGACCTCGCTTATTTAAGCGACGGCCCCGAGCAATGACAGTAAACTGTGAAGGATCTTTTGGGAACGGATTTCCTTCGACGGTGCGACACCGCGGGTCAAGACAAGCCTATGACTTAGGCGACATTGTCGGCATCTGTCTTGCGACGTTTCCCTGGCTTCTATTGCCTTTACATTAACTTTTCCAATCCTCCGTCTTTGCCACTACGCGGGTTAAGACTAGCCTCTAACCTCGGCGTATTACTGTCGCACGACCTATTTCTCTCTCCCTACATTGTGACGATTGTCAAGTTGCGGGCTACAACAAGCCTCTAGCCTTGGCGGCACTATTGACATCTGTCCCGCTCGTTCCCTCTAGGAATTTCCGCTACTCGGCGCTCCGCCCGTTTCTGACACTAGTCTGTAGGCTCGGGTCCTCCCCTGTTTTATGTGTTCTTGCACAACCCCTTCCAGTGCAGGTCCCATTCTGGGTCCACACTTTGACCAGTTCGTCGTGCTTTTACAGTCGGCCGACGTACTTCCCCTTTGCTCTACAACCGTCCCGATCTACCGCGGGACACCACCTATTGGTTGTTACCTCTTCCTCGAGCTAGCTCATAGCTGGCGACCGCCACTATACTACACAATGTGGTTCCATCCATTTCGGCACTTTTTGCCACATTTCCCTTGCTTCAGTGTGAAATGTTGCCTGTCACCTTTCTTTGGTGGCGTTTCGCTTTACTGGAAACGATTGGTGGATTTTGATGGAGCTTCAAGTCACGATTCCAACGGTCCAGAAACCATGTTCTGCGGCCCTCATTTCCTATTTTTTAAATTACTACCCGTGGCCAAGAATTAGGGCCACCTACCTTTAGACAGTTCCTGCCATCGCATTCAGTTTCCGGAAAATCGTCCCATGCACAGTAAAGCTTTACTGCACATCGGACCACAGAAACGGTACCGGGAATACAGCTAAGTGGTATCTGGAAATGGGCCGTCATACGCGTTCTACCGGGCACGAACCGCAACATAATGGCATGATCCACGACGATGTCATAAAAGCGCCGCACCCCCTGTTAATCAGCAGCTTGCCGTCCGTGGCGTGAACGCCAACGCTGTGCATCGTGCTTAAAAGACGCTCCGTAGTCGTTGCGATGGTGTCTGATGAAAGCGGGGCGAAAATATGACGAAGATGAGGATGCAACGGTTGCGGGGATTTTCGGGCCGGGGTGTGTTGGGTGAGAGCGAGGCTGTCGGGGAGGAAGAGGGCAGGTAGGAAGGCGAGGATGTCGCAAAAAATAGAAAATAAAAGGAATGATAAAGAGTTAACTGGCAGGACCGGACGAAAAACGGGAATCGCGTTTTTACTGTTGTGTTTTGTTTTCGTTTTTGCTTGTCTTCGGGCAGCTAGTCTGCCTCGAATCTTCCCGTATTTATACTACTTCTGCCCTTCCTCTATCTTACGGTTTGTACTATCACAACATCTCTGTAGGAGAGGATGCACTCTAGCTTGATATCTGAAATTATTAAAATGCTCCCGTTTAAGAGCATCTCCATCGCGGCCCAAAATGTTTGCCATATTGTAAAATATACCTATTTTGCAAATTTGTCATCACCACCGCGCGACGATGTTGCCAAATCGCTTGGAAAAAATACGATTTGCCACCTGAGCGCACGCATTTTTCTCAGAAATGCGTCCAGTTTCGTCGCAAATCGTATTTTATCGCCACTTTGCGTGGCCACGTTTTTGTGCTGCCGCGCAACAAGACTGTGAATTATGATTGAATTTGGGGACCGAAACACCATTCACGCGGGAACCGACGGAGGCATATTGGAGTGCGAGATTTCCGGAACACTATCCGCGCTTTGCGGGGGTCTCTGTTCTATGTATGAAAGCACGCGCAAAGCGCCGATAATGCGCTGGAGAGGGTGTATCCCGCTCTTCCCTACAGCATCAACCTTGCGGATAAACTCCGGCCGCATACTCAGCGCGGTGTACAGTCTGTCGAAAACGCGTCGCGGTATTCCAAACCGTCTGGAGAAGTCGGTGTTGTCGTAAACAGGTGGCATGCAATCGACGCCAAAGTAGTGCTTTCGCAGTTTCAGCACGGTACCATCAAAGTCGCGCCTCTTATTGGGAGATTTCCCAGGTGCAGACTCTCCATGACGTCGTGAATCGAAGTCGTTCTCGTCAGCTTCCGCCGCCAGCTTGCACATGAGCAAAGTGAACTCGTCATCGTCGTCGTCCAAAGGAAAGTCAAATGACTCCACGTGCGTCGCAAGAGCTGGTCCCTCTGTCACAGCACCTTGCAGCTCCTCAAGGCCTTCGAGCTCGTGCAGAGGCTCCATGGCGAAAAATAGCAATCTACCTGCGCGGTGGTGTTCCGCCGACGAATTGTGACGACGCAAATTGCGATACTTTCCAGTACAGAGTGCCCAACGAGAATAACCAATTAGAAGTGGGACAAGTGTCCTAGAAATAGCAATATTCTGGCTGCGCGGTGGAGATGCTCTAAGTGCAGTATAATAATTTCGTTGACGGGCATTTTTCGTACAGTAAAACGTCACCGTCAAACGCCATTTTTCACAGAGGACGAGGATAGGGGCCTGGTGTCGGCGAGGGGTGAGCATGGCTGTTTCGGTTACGAGCCGCGGACGGGTTAGCGTGATGGGGGGTCTGCGAGGTGGACGCGAAGTCGGAGGCGTATACTGTAAGGAACCACTCAAGATAGGGTGGTGGGTGAGTCTGGGGAAGTGTGGCAGACACGGGAATGCGTGGGAGGGAGAAACTTTGTGGTAAAGACGCTGCAAGATAGAGACCGGTGGCGCAGGTCACAAGTACAAGTGCCCATCTGAGAGCACTGTAAAGGTAGGTGACCCTAATTCTTGGCCACCGGTAGTAATTTAAAAAACAAAACTAAGAAATGAGGGCCGGAGAACATGGTTTCTAGACCGTTGGAATCGTGACTTGAAGCTCTATCAAAGTCCACCAATCGTTTCCGGTAAAGCGAAACGCCACCAAAGAAAGGTGACAGGCAACATTCCACACTGAAGCAAGGGAAATTTGGCAAAAAGTGCCTAAAGATCGGTCACTGATCGGAATTGGCCCGGTGGACTGCCAAAATTATGTAACGTTTATTGGGTCCACGTCACTCACTCGATCCACCACCGCCTGTTGCAGCATCGTGTGCGAGACGTGCAGCATAGAGTTTGGCAGAAGCCCGTCGTTCTCCGAGGGGTCGCACATGATTTCTATATGTTTCTATCGATTCCCCACATTGCTTTGCCCTCCTCAGCTCCACAAACTCTCGCAGCAATGCCCTCCTTTTCTCCCAAGCCACTAGTTTCCTCTGTTCCACTAATTCCTTCTGCTTGGCGACCAATTTCGCCGATGCTGTGGCACGTCGTTTGCGATTGACATGCGCCTCAATCAGAGTCAGGGCATTCGCTGACGTCATGACTTGGCTGCATGTAGTGTCAACATATCCCCTTGAATGTACAACCGCTTCCTCGCCAAGCACTTGTTCCCTTAGCACTGCCTTCTTCTTTTCAAATAAATCAGCTAACTGGCCCTTATCCAGTATTTTTTCTAAACTGTCAGGCGCGGCTGGGCGTGGTACAGATAGGAGCTTCCGACTGTCCAGATGCCATAATCCCGCTCTGCAAAATGCTGCCTTGATATTTTCTCAAAACAATGCTTTCTCATATGCATGCCTTATTAGCATGCACAATTTAAAGACATCCCAACTCTCACCTTCCTCCCTTGTAGCAACTGAATTCATGACTTTGTTCAGTTCTCGCTTGAACACACTGAACACTACCACGTCTAACGGTTGTGTCTTCCAGCTGGTATGGGCGGGCAAAGCGTACATGATGATGTTGCTTTTATGAAACAACTGCAGAACACCAAGTGATAAATGAGAGCGGTAAGCATCACAAATGAGCAGCACCTTCCTCCCATTTGCTGTCAAATCGCTAACACTGTCCACGAAACAGCGTGCCCAGTTGAGAAAATTCGTTTGATCAACGCCTCCGCACTCCTCTCGCAGTGCACCAAGAGAACCCCGCGGTAGTACGCATAAAGGTGTTTCTGACACTACAGTTCCATGAAGCAACACATTCCTGAAAAGAAATTCTTTTGCTTTTAAAAACGAATTGACATGTCCCTGTACTGCCAGCTGCCGATATTGTGGGCATCATCGTTACTATCTTGTCGTACGAGAAGCGGGGGAATTTTATGTCTTGCGAGCAACTGCGAGGCATCATTTTTCTTGATTTTGACCTGGCATTGACATCCTTGCCAGGTGTAACTCTACACTCGTCCAAATGCCACATACGTTCAGCGTCGATGTGGTATTCAGCAATTATTCTCTCAACGGCAGCAAAATGCGTAGCCAAGACCTCCCCACTACATGCTGCGAATCTCTCGGCTTCTTGCTTTGTTGGTTTGGAAAATTTGATGAGTTTGTTCTGCCTCTTAATGAAGTTTCGTACCCACTTTCTACCCGGTTGTCCCTCGCGAAATGGCAGTAACACTTGTCTTGCTGGCGTCATGTGAGACACCATGATTGGGACGGCCTGTCTCACATGATGGGAGTCCATCGGTATTCCTTTGTTTCCGTACTCAGTAAGGAGAGCGAGAATTGGTTTCTCTTCTTGATCAGTTAGCGCGCGTGGTCTCCCAGCCTGCTTCATGATTGTTTTGTTTAGTGTTGCTGTGGCGTACTGGACTGTGGACGGAGGAATTTGAAACCACTTTGCGGCATCTCTTGCCAACATTCGCCCTGCTCGGTACTCTTGAACCGCAAGACATTTGCGGTCTTCACGGCGCCGAGGTACATGCGGACGGCTCATAATGTCGTCTTATGCTATCACAGGGATGACAAATTGAGGAGAAGGAACAAGGAAAAGTGGGGGAAGAGTGAAAGGGGGGCAGCAGTTCTAGTTTGATGCCTGCTTGTGAGTGGGAAGGCGGGGTTTTGGCGACATTGATCCCAGAAACCCGCCCTCTCACTGTACTCATGAGAATCTAGGATCTGATAGATCGTATTCTGCTGTTTTGGACACAGCTGAATCGATTGGTCTGATTTGTTTTTGAATTCCATCACATGTTTTGGCACAACCGCATTCAGAAGAGATGGGAAGGGCCATTGTGTGGACCGAGAGTGCATAATTAATAATTTCGATTATTATTACGTAACAACATCGTGGCCAAATGATTAGGGGCACTGGCCAAGAATTAGGGCCACCTACCTTTACAGTACAAGAGCGCACCTGAGAGACAGCGCTGCCCATTTATGTAAAGCTAACTTCCACGTGTAAGACGTGGTTGATTGCGTCACAAAAGCTCTGGGTGCTCGGCGTCTAGCTAGAAGATGGCGGCTTTGTGGCTCTCGACCGCATGCTTGTGTTATTTTCTGGATGCACCCAGTCGTGAGGATTTCTTAGTCGTCTGTCTGCACTAAGGAAAAGGACAAGCCTTCGCAACGCAGGAAATGTAGAACATTCACAGGTCAGATCCGCTCGCACTCCAAGAGTTGATTACTGTGTGGTGACGGGAAGCTGGTTGATAGATCATAGATACAAAGATATGGACGTCAACGTCCATGAAACAAGACTCTCAAGCATTCGCATCATCAAAATGAACCCCACCCCCCTCAACTACTATGACGCACCATTGCAACACAACACAAATACCTGGGGTGGCAAGCGTCTATGGCTTTTCGCGATTTAGACCACTATCGTCATGGAAGCAACCGGATTAGCCACCACTGCAACTACATCTGCGTGATCGTGCCGTATCAATGAGTTTACTGTAGTCTCCAATCGAGCCAGGACAGCTTCAGACCCCGTCCTCTCGCCTTCGCGCAACTTTTCTCTTGCGTGGAGTTACTTACCATGTTTGTCCTGTAGAAACATTACCCATGTCTGCCGTCCCCAGAATTCGATCCGTGATGTCTTGTCAGTCCTCTACCCACTCGCAACGAAGGTTGATCCATCTATCCACGTCCCACATCCGCACGGTCTCGTCCCAGGATGCAGATACCACATGTCTTCCGCCCGCACTCATCCCAACGCTGCGCCCCTATCCCTGTGTCCAGTGAACGCGCCCCTCTTTGTGCTCTGTCTGCTACGAATCCAGCGACCGCGGTGCAGTGTGCGTATGTCTCGTTATCAGAAGATGGACAACCGTTTCATAAAGCCGGGGGATGCATGCAAAACGAGAACCGGACACTTTCATGCCTCCACTAGCGTCCTGACGTTGATGTTCCCGCCACAACTTTCGCACTTTCTTTGCACTCATTATGAAGCGCATAGAGCTGATGCCAACTGCAGAACCACTCGTCCCAGACTACAACATCGTACACGTTAACTCAGCCCAAAAATATGTGGTCATCCTTTCCTTCTTCGGTCACATCAGCAAGTAACGGACACTTTTCTCTAGCCACTGAAGGGCGTCTTCTCGGGGAGCACCGTCTTCCGCTTCCCTAGCTTTGTCCAAGTATATATATGCTCGCACGAGCCGTGAAAGATCATAGACTTTCGCGGTTAAGCTGTACAATCCATCAATGTCAGCTATGTCCATTTCCTGTGCATAGACCTCCAACAATTCCCGGTTGCACCAGTGCACATCAAACAAAGGATGGCTTGCGAAAGAGCTGTCAAAGTCAAAAAACCGGAACCCTGGACCCTCATCGGTGCTCTTCCTGGTTAGGTTCCCTTCCAACTGGTCATTGTGTATCAAACAATTAGGCATTTCCCAACTAATAAGTTCCGTCAGGTATTCTTGCAGCTTGACCTTGGTGTTGGACAGCTTCTGGCTTGGTTCCGTTTCCCGCACAGACAAAAGCTCCTTAGACTGAAAAAGTGAGGTCAAGTTCTCACGCATCCACAGCGGTGAATAACATGGTAGCCCGGCCTGCAACAAATCGGGCAACACATTCGTGCTTGCGCGGTGTAGACGCACCGTATCTCTTACCACCTGCTTACGCCCTTTAAGTTCTAATCTAAACATGCCAGTCTCGTCACCGTGGTCGGCAAGGATCATTTGACGACTTTCCACGTCTGCAAACAACGGCTTGGCGACAAGATCGGGAGCAACGCTTGACATTATTGACGTCACTCCAGCATCGTTCGACGTGGATGGGCTGCATTTTAGGTAGTAATCACCCCCATTCGTCTTGATCTTTAGCACGGCTCCTCTGTATGACGTACGGATCTGAACCAGATCCCCTATCACATGCAAATTGTGTCCACGCAATATTTCGCGCACTTTTCGAAGCGTTTCATGGTGCCATTCGACAGAGGCCCAAGGCACCCGTCGAGGCGGCGAAACGTTGGCTGCGGCCTGTTTTAGTTCTCGTCGAATAGCTTGCTCCGCTCCTTTCTCCGAGTGCGAGACATGGACGACACCCGCTCCGTGATTATCGGCGATGGCCACCCAACTGCATCCAGAAGGCACTCGTTCAGATTTCTCACGGCACCCAACAACGATAATACCGCGGCTTCCCGAGTCTGAATGATCATCGGTTTCAACGGACCACTCTTCAAAGTAACAATCTCGGAGAACAATGAAAGGAAATTCTATACCAATGACTGTCTTAGCAGCGCTGCACACATCATGTGTCGGGGTGACATCTACCGTGTCAGAAAGAAATCCCGGAAGCCTCCATTCATTAGGACCGTTTGCCACAAGCAAAACGTATCGATTGCTCACATCAAAGGTGAGAAGTTGCACCTCATTGACCGAATCCCTTTCACAGCGTGCCCTGGACGACTTGTAGATAGGCTGTTCGCTGCGGAACATGTGTTCCGATCCTGGGAGCAATCTTGCGTGCCCTTTCCGTCGCGCTTGAGATATTTTCCAATAAAATCTTTTGTGCTCGTTTGTGTCGAGCGCGTTGAGAGAGTTTGCGTTTGTACAAGGCGATCGCAGACTTTTGGGTAATGTTCGTACTGTACAAGATGGCAAGGGACTCTGCTACCATGTGAAAAGTGAGAAGCAAGGCCTGGATCAAAAAGATCTCAGTCAAAAAGAGCTCAGTGGTACGCGACTGCGCAAAATTTGAATTTCTTTTCACAGCTTAAGAAGAGGCCTCATGCGAGGCCACGTGTCACCGAGACACTAATTTTGCTGGACTGGGTCTGCATTTTGTAAACCTTGTCAACGCCTACCCTTATCTGCCAGCTTGCGCTTGAGAGCTAGGCGGATAGTGGCGCCCAGTGTAGAAGCACTGTTTTGAAGAGACGCCCCTGTTGCTGTTTGAAAGGCCTTCATAACAAAAAGAGGTTGGGATTCGGTGTTATCAATCTGAGGTTGAAAACAATTCACACTCGGCAACTTTCGTAAAGTAGAAATGATGCGGCTGACGATACAGCGCACAACTAATCAATGCACAACCGATACACTGCACGTTTTCAGTTGAAATGCGACCGAATGTCGATGTTGTACATGTGTATCTGTCTTGCTTCTGCGACATGAATATCCGAGACAGGATGCTTGTACAATTGCGAAATGCGTGCTGCAAACATAGGAAGGGTCGTAAGTCGCGTTTACCGGGCAAATCCCGCAGGCATATTCCAATATTGTCTCAAATCGACATTGAGCAAGAAGTGGCTCGTTGCGCTTCCAGCTGGTCATTTCATCAGTCAGTTTATCGCGCAGACTGCTGCAAATTAGCAGCTCAAGAGTTCACATGTACAAAATCTAGACTTCTCCCGTTCCGCTCGACAAAACTGTCTCTGATACAGTCTGTACGTTCTTTCAAACACATTCCATTAGAGACCAGTCCACCATTTTTTGTTTTTCGCAGGGAAAATCGCTTCCTGCGTCGCAGTCTTCAAGCATCAGGCATGGTGCGGCTCGAAAGATTCGTGTCGCGACTTGACGGAGGTAATGTGGACAACTCAGCCGCGATTTGAACTTACGAATCAATCGCAAGCGCAAACCCATGTACATCATGATGTATTTTCCAGATCTGTAGCAGCCAGATGTCCAACTAAGATGAAGTCTATAATAAATGCCATTCTTTACCAAGGACTCTGTAATGCTGCTATACATTCGTTTCAAGGAAGCGACAGAACTCTAGTGACAAGAAGGATCGGACAGCTGTCCACAGCTTCGATATCCGGTGGTAGGTTTCATGGCATTGTCTGTTACACATACACTCGAGCTTCAAGACACGTTCTAAGTAAAGCGTCCCAGAAAGCTCATAGGCAATTACACAATTGCTTAGCACTGCAGGATTGTCTATTTCGCCGACATTGTGCGCGCCGACCACCTCTGCTCAATTTGTACATCTGCAATATTTGTTCACATGGATCGATTTTCGTCGCCATTCGGGCGGGGTGAAATCACTCGCGATCAAGAAAGCGCTTTGTTGCCATTCGTGAACAGTTCGCCTTGCCCTCATGTCCGCGCACGTTGGCTGCTTGCATTGTTTGTACTCTGAGTTTTTTTCAGCTGCAAATCTAGGTAGATATTCAGTGATGACAGCGGTTTACACTGGTTAAAGACAAGGACTGCCTGACGCTGCCAGCTAACCTGTGACTTCGTTCCTGGGATTTAAGGATATTCCTGTCAGAAACAACTGCGTATGAGAGCGAGTCATGCGATTCGAGTAACAAAAGTGCCCGAGATAAGTGAAGCAAGTCCCACGAGGTGAAAATGAGCTATGGCGCGCACTGCTGAAGAGTTGGTATGACGCAATAAAGGAATTCAGGCCTTCGGGCCCATGCGCTTTAGGCAGGCGTCGCATCGCGCAGGACGAAAGCTTCGTGCCACTCCATCACGCGCACAACCACGTCCCGGAGATATGATCGAGATGTGCATAATGTCGCAATTTATGGATGCGCAGTGCAGGTAAAGGAACACAAACATTTGAAGGGAACGAAAAAACTACAATGACAGCCCTCCCTTCCCAACATCAACTATGCTATGCACACCTGCACGGAGGTAAATTCGACTACAAGGATAGATATAATGCACAGTGGCTCACGCCCCAGATCTAAAAAAATCAGTTTCGATCTCTTGGGGATTCCTCAATGGCACTTTTTGACAATGGGCGGGAGATGTAGCGATTTCAGGCAGCGTACCTTAAACTAACCTAGCGACGTACGTGAGGCCACTCCTTGACAACCACCCCAAATACTTTCTGGAGGCGACTTCAGTTCAAACTTGGACGTAGCGTCTTAAATGATTGTACAACATGTGCTTGGCGACGATCCAGGTATCTGTCCGCCCCTCCGTGGCTTGGGAAGTAGGTCCCAAGCCGACGGCAAAGCTTCATCAAAAGCATCCTTCAGGAGTTCCTGCGTGAGTGCACAGCCCTTTACAGTAACTCCTCCTCCCCCCTCCCCCCTCCCCCTCAGAGGTCCGGCCTTGTGCCGTCGCGTCTCCTCCCTCAGTCAAAAGAAGGAAAAGGAAGAGTACAACTCTATTGTGCTCCACACCTCGACGGTCGGGCGATGTTCCGGCGATGGCGGCCACTGCAAAGGCAGGGCTTGATGCGTATGACGCTGGAGTTGGTGGTGTTAGACCCACTAATGACCACTACGTGGTCCCGGTTCAAGCTGGGATCTACAAGGGTGAGCGCAATCCAGAATCCTCAACAAACTATCAGCCTTTCTTCACTTGCTCTACTTGAGGTCTGGATCGACAAAAAACGGCGGCCGTTCTGCAAAGTAGATCAGTCTCGTTGCTGTAGGTAGACTAGCGTTGCGTAAAGCCAGGTGATGCATGTAAAATCGAAGAACACTGAACAGAATTTTAATACGAGTGAGCGTCTCCTCACCAATGGATATCAAAAATATATTCATATTTAAATAATTTAAATAATTCCTAAAGAATAACTTATTCTTTGGATGGGGAAAAAAGAATAACTTATTTATTTTCATGAATAATTCTAAATAATTCATGCTAGTTCGACTTGACACTGGAACATTTTTAGATTACATTCGACGTCGTCGATGTGTACCCTTCCAAGGGAACCAGTTAATGTTAACAACTATCGAAGCAATGACTCCTAAGAGCGTCCACAGCGGTGGGAGGGGTCCAATCCATATTCTCCAAACGTGTAACGATTGCGTTGGTGCTTCAATCACGGTGGATTTCAGAGTCCAACCAAATTTAGAATGGACCACCTCCTTTCATATGGGCACCCCACCGGTCAGCACTACAACTTTACGGTGAGGTCCCACACTCACCTCCCACTCCCTCTCCATCTTCGCAAGACCAACCACCAATACCAACCAGTTGGTTGCTACTCGCAGTGACTATGCCCACCAAGGGCACATTACGCCACATGCTCCACGATGACGCTTCGGACGAGCTTGAACTTGCCGCTGTCTTGTCGTACCAAATGCAAACTATGGCGGCGTTACAACTTCAGGACACAGCACAGCAAGCTGGCGGCTCTCGTCCCGGCTGTCGCCCGAACGTCGCGCGTGACTTCCGCGCCGCTCATCGGCGTCTAATGCTAGACTACTTTTGGCCTGCCGCGGATTTGAGGCCCGACGGGTCTATGCAAAGGGGACCTGTGTACTACTCGGAACAGTTTGAGCGGCGCTTTCGCATGTCGCACCCTCTATTTTATCGCATTTTTTCTCACGTTGTCATGCACAACCAGTTCTTGCGCCGTGGGCTAAAACCAGATTGCACGGGAAAGTCTGGTGCTTCACCTTTGCAGAACGTAGTCGCATCCTTACGGTATTTAGCATATAGCTCTCCTGCAGATAGTTTAGATGAATATGTTAGACTAGGGGAGACAACTACACTGCAGTCGATGAAACAATTTTGCTGGTCGGTCGTACAACAATTTGGTCCCCGTTATTTGCGCGCGCCCACCGCCACAGAACTTAACGAGATTGCCTCCTCGTTTGAAAAACTAGGATTCCCTGGCTGCATCGGGTGCTTGGATTGCGCGGGGTGGGATTGGGAGCAGTGCCCCAAAGCTTTGCATGGCATAAATGTGGGGAAAGAAGGGAAGCCTACGTTACGTATGGAAGTGATCTGCGACATGGACCTAAGAATTTGGCATTTATGTTTCGGCTTTCCGGGCTCGATGAACGATCTTAATATTCTTAGTGTGAGTCCACACTTCGCAAATATTCTAAATGGGAGTTATCCCCAATTGATATACAGTATGTTATTGATGGAGAGGTGTTCACTTGGAGTTACTATTTAGTAGACGGTATATATCCAAAGTGGAAAATATTCGTCAGCACTGTGGTGAACTCTTCTCATTGGAAAGAGAAGAGGTTTGCAGCGCTACAAGAAGCCGTACGAAAGAGTGTAGAACGTGTCTTCGGAGTATTATTTAAGCGTTTCCGCGAGGAGCCGTCTCGTTTATGGTTTAGTGAAGATATGGGGATTATTCTACAGGCCTGTGTCATTATTCATAATATGGTCGTCGAGGAGCGTAAGGATGGGTATATTGGGGATGGGGTCGGGGGAATTCGGGAGAGGCTCTACGAGCTGTTTGAAAAAGCGAGGGAGATGGAATTTCTAGGGGGATAGTGCAGGGTCCGTATGCCACAACCCCGAGTCGCAAACGCAAATATCCGAGAGACTGAGCAACAACTATGGTACTGTTAACACGGACATAAAAAACCGAACTGAACGAGCTCGGTTGGTGAACGCCTTGATTGATCATTTACACAAAAGGTCGTAGTTTTTCTATGATAATTGATACGTTTAGGGTGCACTGTAGTTGACGAACAATACATGTTCTAAACCTTTGCTTTTCTTTCTACGCTCTTCCTCAGACACTCCTCCCATCACCACCTTCCACCATCCCCTCCGTCCTTCCCCCCCTCCGCCTATTAAGCTGCACTGCACTCTGACGCGCGCCCCATACCCAAACCACCTCACGCCGCTGCCCCTTTATGACTTCTCTCACATGCCCGTCCAGGACGCTCCATTTCTCCTCTCGTCGCGCCGAGTTGGCATGCGTTCCCGCGACTTATCCAACTTGTCGAGTCAATTTTTCTTCGACTCTTGCGATTCCTTGCCCACCTGCAACTTTACCCAGCTCCTTTCCGCGATAGGCGGCTCCATCCGTGTGCGCCTGGACACCGTTGCCCCTTGGCAATTCGAGCGCACGGACCCCTCTCTGCTCTACAATTAGGTCTTCCGCCTCTCCTCTGGCATGCTCATGTGCGATTCCCGCGTCATCGCTGCCGACCTATCGCTCGAAGGTACCGCTTCGGCTATCCATCCTATGCTACTGCGTCTCCCGGCACCACCGCGGACCAGCGCGTTGACGCTACCCGCTCTTTGTTTTCTACCCTCACACGTGCGACTTCCGCAGAACGCTCCCCGTTAATACCTTCATCCCACTCGACGCGCCAGCCACAAGTCCGAATTTCTCAGGCTATGGCCAACGTTTCTGGCTACATCACGGCTGCGGCTGCCGCCTCCGACGACCAAGACGCGTCGGAACGACCCGGCCCGCCTATCGCTGTTTCCACACCTCATCTCCAAGCTGCGCTCGCGGAACCCCAGCCTCTTACGTTTCAATACAAATGGCCAAATACAAATTGGTAGATGGTACAAGGAAAGGATATTGCGAGCTCGTGCGGGACCCATGATATTTATTTTGATAGTCAGGATTGTGGCCAAGGCAGACACCCGACAAGATGTTATCACTCAATAAGTTCCATCACGGATATCTTCTTTGAAGGGTTTTGATTTGACGTATTACCTGAAGAGTTTTCATCGTGCCCGCCGCAGGATTCAGACGATGTGGCGCTAATGAGAACATCTGGGGCCCTCCCTATCGCAGCTGTCACGCGAGCGTCGCTCCGCACTTTGTCCGCTCGAGTTGCATGGGTCTGTTCACCTTCGGCGTGGGGCACACATCGTTTTTTAAACGGGGCCTGTCCTGGTGAATCGCTCTCAACTTGCAAGTCAACAGTCACCGTGTTCATATTACGGCCTTTAATTGATGGCTTGACCCCCTTCACCCCGGCCAGCTCGGCGAGGAATTTCTGTTGTTCAAGTGAGCGAAATTGATTGAAGAGGTTTGGATCTGTCCCCCGCATTTGAAACAGATCTATGCTGTAGTTTCTCTCTTCAACTTCAAGCAACCTCTCCGAGATGTCATTTAGCTTTTTGCTTTCATGTGCAATTTTCTCTAATCCGTCCGCACCCTTATTCAAAGCGACGTTAGTCTTTGCAGTTGCTATAACTTTCTTTGCACCGACCGGTCGTTGCTTATGACCCGAACTATTTATCCCACTCATTGGCTTCTTCTCATCCAAACATACTGGCCCTTGAAATCCATTCACATTGACGTCAAGTTTGACTTCTTGTTCTTCATCCACATCAATGTACACAGTTCGACTATTTGCGCTACCTTTGAAGTCAGGTATCTTCATTTCAGATGCCTTCATGGCATCCTTTGCAGCAGCAATAGCGTGGAGCGTCTCCTCCCAAAACGGCGTTTTCCTCAACCACAAATAGCAATTCAAGAACTTAAACGATTTACCGGGATTGGCCGGGTCGTCCCCAAAAACCGATACATATCCCTTCATCCCTTCATTCCCACCTCAAGTATCTTGTTCTCGATTGCGGTTGCGGCACGAATAATGTCATTGTCGCTTGGATTTCCCGTCGGGTTGACAGAATAAATTAACTGCACATGTTGCTCGAAACATAAACACTTCTTTTTGATATCTTTGTACCTCTGCACTACAGCCTCTGATGTACGCCTCGTTCCCGATCCACTCCATCCTTTCGCCTCCATCTCAGTAATGAGACCTTCATACTCCTTGAGTACACGGGCTTCCAGCTTTGTCATTTTCTGGCTTATGCCACGCTTGGAGTCTTCAGATGATGCGATGTAGGCTTTACAGGCGCAGATGTTCTCTTCATTGCTCCATTTCAGCCCAGCACCCATTGCGAAAGATCACGATTGTCCTTAGAAATATGGATGTGTAATATGTTGCTGAAGGGTGTTCACGATGTGTCGCGAAAAGTAACAACACATCGATACGGAATTATTACGATGGAGGTTTCTGCAGGTACAATGGTAACAAAGGGTTTGCTTTCGTTCGTTTTTGGCGGGAAGGTCATGTCGTCGGGGTAGTTCGTGGGATCGGGAT